ACGTAAAAGTATTTCTTCAAATGCAATTTTGTCCTAATCATTAACTCCTAAAAAGTTTATTAAAGTGTATCTAATACTTTAAAGTATTTTTTAGTAGTAGCAATTCGCATCATAAAGTGTTTTTACTAACTTTTTTTTTATATATATTTTAGTATTCATCTTTAATATTTTCAATAATCAATTTTCAATAGTTTATCTTATAAATTTTCTAGACTTATCTTTCACGTTGTCAATCCTAATTTTTAATTATTTTGAGTGATGAAAACATGAAAGATAAGTATTAAAATCATTTAAGATGAATACTGAAAAGTTAAAACGGTAAGCAAAAAAATGTTAAAGGTTTGCCTTGCATACATAAAAGATGAATGCTGAAAAAAATAACATAAAAACATTTTAATGAGAGAATTTTATTTCATGAAAAAATTCTATATTTTCAGTACACATCTTTTATATTTTCCTAAATGTTTTCAGTATTTAAAGTAATGTTAAAATTAGGGTTTGAAAACATTTTGAAAGATAAGTCTAAAAATATCTGACTAAAAAATAAAAAAAATTAAATTATTGAAAAATATGAAAGATGATTACTAAAAATATGACAAAATAGTAATGAAAAATATTTTAATAGTAAAATTGTATCAGAAAATTACTTTATAGTTTTGAACGTCACTAAAAAATACTTTAGATTGCGGAATTTAGATGTACTTTAATTTAAGGAACTTTTTGAGAGTTGACAATGAGAGTGAAATTGCATTTAAAAAAAATACTTTAAGAAAAAAATTGTATTTAAAAAATACTTTAAGGGCAAACTACTACCGCAAATTACTTTAGGATACTTCTTTTTTTATAAAAATATTTTAAGATGCTCGATATATTTCAACCTATCTAGGTTACCCAAAAAAAAATCAATGCATATATCATAAATTTTTATCCACATTTTGAATTTTGTAGTGTTGAAAACTTACTTATTTAGTAACTTTTTTTAAAAAAAATTTAAGTTCATAAGTTGTCTTTTTTTCATAACAGATTAAAATAATATTTCAAACACCTATGTACGAAAAAACGTAATGAAATAAGGACTTAATATAATATGGGATAAACTAGTTAATATAATTTATATTTATCTTTCTTTAACTTTTATTAATTTTAATACACAGTGTTTTCTAAATTATTTATTTTTATTTGAGTTTATATAATTGGGGAGAGAAACTAAATAATTAGATTATGAGGGCAAATTAATAATTTAAAATTTTTAAAAGAGTTACAAATAATAAAATTAAGTATTTTTGAATATTTAATAAAATATTTTGTAGTTATGCTCAAAACTGGACCTATTTTTTCCAAATAAAATTGGACTAAAGGATAAGTTTAAAAATAAAAAAGGATGTCTGTGTATTTTAGCAAAACAGAAGAAAGGTCATTATATTTTATTTTAGTAATTAATAAAAATCATATTTGAAATAAAGAAAATTTTATAACAAAAATTTGTTAAAATTTAAAAATAAAGATGCATCATAGTAAAAATTATAATAACATTACGCTAAATATAATCGTCTTGATATCCATCCCTAGATAGAGGTTTTTCCCCTCTATGACAAAGTCTAAGTCAATTTACTTATATCTATTAAAATTAATTTTTCAACTCAATAATACTTGAATTTTATCATAAATATAATTATAGTACATTATATTTGAGTACAAGAAAACTTAATCTTAAACTTTAAGTAAAAGAAGGCACAAAATATGTACAAAAAGAGCATAAAATAGGAAACAATATAGAAAAACCTAAGTGAAAACAAAATAAAGTCACAAAAACAAATCACTTAAAAATTAACAAATCTTTCCTAATTTCCTATAATTTCTCTTCCACTTTAAAGAACTCTCATTCATAGAGTAAAAGCAATGATATAAATTTAACAAGACAAGATGACATTAAGAATATTAACTATATAAATTGTAAGCCGGCAATGTAATACGCTAACACTATATAATCAGTGACATTAAGAATATTAACTAAAATTAAGGAGGAATAAATAAAATTAATTATACAAAAAATGTGAAAATTTTGAAAATTTTTAAATCTTAATTGATCATACCCCATAAAGTGTCTAGAATCCTTAAGCCGATACACTTATCATTTCCATAACATGAATACCATGAAAGTTAATGAAACAAATATGAGATGAAGTGTATTGTAGAATTGGAATGAGATTTACAAATTGAAAGCCATCGTCCAGCAAACTCCAAACGAGGTTTGTAATTTATCACCATAGGATTTATTTAGTTTTTTCACTAATTAATTTCATGATTATAAAAAGTTTCATTCTCCCTTAGTACGTTTTCCTGAAGTGCATAAAACATTTATGTCTCATTATCACTGTTGAGGTAAATTATAGTTGAGTTTATGCTTTCTTGTTACTGTGAAAAATTAGAGAGAGGGACCGGGTGGAAATGATATCTAAAAGAACCAGATATTAAAATATAAACTTAAAAAGACTAACCACAACTCCTATATTCTCTCACCACCTCCTATAATTTTCACATCATTTAGTACAATAATTACAATTTATTTCAATTAATTTAGACTAATTCAAATTTTAAAGTTAGACACCGATTCTAATTAATTAAATTAATAGCCAACACTAGTTAATTTATTTTTCTATTATTTTTAATTAATAATTTGCGTAGACTTTCTGAAAAATAAGCATGACAGTAAAGTTCTACCATTCATAGGAAAAAAAGTTATTCTGTATTTTTACTTATCCATTTCATATTATTATTTTATTTGAATAAGTTGAATCATCTTACTTAATAAAATTAATAATTTAAAATAAAAAGTGACATAAGAAATTCATTATATCAAAAAATATTTGTCATAATAAAAGGAGTTGTAATCGTTTGAGTAAGAAAATTCAAGTTTAAACCTACATGATATTTTTTATTCTTATTAATTATGAATAATTTATATATTTTTTATTATTATATCACTTTTTTATTTTTAATTCAACCACATGATTTTGATCGGCTCATTATTTAGGACCCAAAAAAGAGTTTTATTTTTTTAAAAATGATGGACAAATAAATTAATTAATATTACTTATTAACTGAGTTTAATTAGTTAGAATTGTTTAGTAACTTTGTAATTCCAATTAGTTTGAATTAATTTGAATAAACTTTAATGATTTTGTTTTAAAAAAAAGAAATTTATAGGATGTGGTGAGATATGATATATAGGATTTTATTAAGGCAAATTGGTTGATTTTAAATTTATATTTTAGTGTTTGGTCCTTCCAAATAAATACAATTTTTAGGATCTTTCCTTATAAATATTGCTGCCATTAGGTCCTCTCCCTAATTTTCCCAAAATTAGATAATAATTGGAGTGAGGTTTAGCTCTTTATATGTTGTATATAGATTAATGCATTTTTAAATATTTTAAAGATTTGCCTTCTTTATATAGATATGTATATTTATATATTATGAGGAAACCAACATACTGATCTTTATGCGGTATGATATGCAGCAATTTGGTTGCTAACAACTTCACAGTGCGGGATTCAGATAGCAGGTGATTATATGCTTTTTATTGAATGATTACCACAAAGATATATATTTATATACACACACATATGTATGTATACATATAAGCTTATTGTACATCACTCGACTTTGCACAAAAATGTGCAACTCTTGATCTCATTTTGGTCCATTTGTTGCCTATCGTCAATCAAGAATCCTAGGCTTCTTTTTGTTAAACGAACTTCAAGTTAATTCCTTAGTTTTTATGTACTCGAATAATAGCGAACCATACATAATTGGAGGTTACATGCACATTTCTAGTTTGACTTATGCTCTTTTCTCATGCAGTGGACACGAATGCCTACAGAAAATTTTTTCCTGTTATCGTGGTCCTGGAATGTGTAAGTAACGTATGCTATGGGTTAGTTTGCTATGACAGGAATTAAAACTGTACGTAAAGGAAAAGTAATCTTACATAACCTTTGAAACTCCAAGCAGACGAACTTCTAAATTTATTATTTTTTCTTTAGTTGACACAAAACCTCTACATAAATCTATTAAGATAGTCCTCTTAACTGTTTCCAAGCAGATTCCAATTTTGCAATCAAGTGTGGTGGTCCTTTAACTAGAGTATCAGATGGAACTAAATATGAAGCTGAAAACAAGGAACTTGGTCTTGCTAATTCTATTGTTACCAACTCAACATGGGCAGTTAGTAATGTGGGGTTCACCCGTCTTATACCAACCACTGATTCTTTGTCTAGCCAGTTCACTGCTACTACAGACCCACAACTCTTCCAGACTGCCCGCGAGTCTGCTGATTCATTAAGATATTATGGCTTGGGACTGCAAAATGGGGATTACAAAGTCACCCTCGATTTTGCAGAACTAACTATTCCCGATAATAATACATGGAAAAGTCATAGAAGACGAGTATTTGATATATATCTCCAGGTATATATATGTGATTTAATCTGGAGGGATGTTGCTGCTTTTTAATAGGAGGAAGATGTATGGATATTTGAAATTATCCCTATTTGACAGTTCCTTGGGTTTCCTTTTCTTTGTTTGTTTCTTTTTCTTTTTTCACCTTTCAGGGAAGTCGTGTTTGGAAGGATTTTGACATAAAAGGGAAGCAGGAGGGGCCTCACTAACCCCTGTAAGAAAGGAATTTCAAGTTCAAGTGACGAAAAACTATCTTGAGGTCCATCTCTGTTGGACTGGAAAGGGAACTTGCTTCATACAAGCTGATAATTGTGGTCCTCTGATATCAGCCGTCAGAGCAGCCAGAGGTTAGACTATACAAAAATAGACAGTAGTTTGAAAGTTCAGTTACTCATTTTCTATGTATATATGACTGATATGTTCTGCTTATGTGTTGTATAGATCTCAGACCTCCTAACAGAACCCGTCTGATTGTGGGAATTGTTGTTGCCACCGTAGCTGCTGTAAGCTTTTGGTCTATTCTTGTGGTTTTATATATTTAGAGAAGAAAGAATCATGGAAATGGCGATGATGGTAAGGAAACCAGGGAAAAAAGATACTGCTGTTTATATATATCCCTTTGAATTTTAAGCGCGCACATTCAAAAATGTCATTTCATGTAAAAGAAAAAAAAGAAAAAAATAATTTAATGTTGCAGTCAGTTCCTTTTTCAAGCAGTAATTTGTTACTTCATTTTTGTTTGTCCACAATGACAGGATATCTGCCAATTTCATGATGGCATTTTTTTCTATCCAATTATGGGATTTGCAACTAGAGATAACCAAAAGATTAACCATACGTTTAGATGGAAGAGAAGTAGTAAGAGGATAAAATTTAGAGGAGAGAAAACATGATGGAAAAATATTGTTGTTTATACAGCGAGAAAAAATAAGAATGAATGAAAAGTGGAGAAAAAGAGAGACTTGAACCTAGCTACATGCATGTCTCTCCTTCAAGTTCACTCTTTAAAAGTAGAGATAATTTTAAAAATAACACGCCTTGGAAAATCTTTCCAACAATTTAGAGTTCAAAATTCATTTATTCATTATGGATATTAGATATTATTATCATTGTCAAATTAGTCATTTTTTTTTTTCTATATTTTCTCTTGTTCATCTAGACTTGGTGAAAGAAAATATTTTCTCCTCATTTTTTCTCTTCCACTCTCTTTTTTGCTATTTTCTCTTTTCCTCCAAACAAATTCAAAGCCCAAGTGTAGAGTTTTGTCACCTTATTTCTTTTCTTCAATCTTAAATAAAGGCAAGGTACACATAAGAGTGCAAGTTTTCCTTTTGAATTTAACTGCAAATGGGGGCACCAAATACACTCTAGTAGTAATTTCTTTGCACAATCCATAACCTTGTTCTTGTTCAATTTGCAGATCTTTTAGGTATTGATACCAAGCCGTATACTTTCAACTATTCTGAGTTAAAGAATGCTACAAATGACTTCAATCCTAGCAAAAAGCTGGGAGAGGGAGGTTTTGGACCTGTATATAAGGTGAATACATAGGGCTTTTACTTTGTTGAAGAATAAAGTTTTATTTACAGATGTCCTAAAACCAAAGCTGCAGCCTTTATATAGAGAATAAAAGGTTTTTATTTTGTATTCCAGGGAACACTTAATGATGGAAGAGTAATTGCTGTGAAAAGACTATCTGTAAAATCTCATCAAGGAAACAATCAGTTCAAAGCAGAGATTGCTACTATATCAGCTGTGCAACATCGTAATCTTGTCACATTATATGGATGTTGTATTAAAGGAAATAAAAGACTACTTGTCTATCAGTGTCTAGAAAACGGGAGTCTTGATAACGCCTTATTTAGTAAGATCATTTTTTGCTATGCACATGTCAATGTTCTCCTGCCTTGCTTTTATTCCTCTTAATTATACCTAGGGTATATTCACCTGTCTGTTGTAGGAAATAATTTTACTCTCAACTGGCTACTCGTTATGATATCTGCATTGGTGTAGCAAGAGGCTTAGCATACCTTCATGAAGAGTCCCGGCTCCGCATTGTGCACCGTGATATAAAGGCTAGTAATGTTTGCTTGATCATGGCCTTCTCCCTAAAATATCAGATTTTGGTTTGGCTAAGTTGTATGATGATAAAATGACCCATATAAGCACTGGTGTAGCTGGGACAATGTAAGTCATTAAGACCTATTTTTCTTGCTTTTTTACTCAATATATCAGCACAAAATTTAGGGGGAACATATATTTAGGTCCTAAAACATAGATTTAGGGATAGTTAAGTCCAGGAAAAAAAATTTCTAAAGAATGAGCTGCAAATATTGACTCAGATAGTTATAAAATGAAGTAATAGTTGTAAACTGAGAATTACATTTAAAATTTAACTGCCTCCTATGAGACTTCTAAATTTGTTTATGTCTAAATCAATATTTGCAGCTCATTTTTTTGGAAAATTTTACTGGAAACCTAAGTATCATTAAATCAATCTTTTAGGACCTAACTATATATCATTCTTCCTAAAATTAATATACGTACGTTGAAGTTTGTCTTGATAAGCACTCATGAATTATGAGTAGTGGCTATCTTGCTCCGGAGTATGCCCTGCGTGGTCACCTTACAGAGAAAGTAGATGTGTTTTCCTTTGGTGTTTTGGCCCTAGAGATAGTTAGTGGGAGGCGAAATTCTGAACCAAGTTTGGAAGAAGACAAGGTGTATCTTCTAGAATGGGTATGTATTACCTTTCTGTTTCCTAGACTTAGGATGTGTTTGGTTTCTATAGTATTTTGAGTTTTCATTATTTATTTAGACATGCAAAATTTTATTGTTTAGTTAAAAATATGCCTTCTTTGTTATGAACGAGACTTAAACGAACGTAAACCTTTCAACAAGTTCCTATTACTATTTCTAGCTAACAACATGAACCTTTATTGAAAATTAGCATAAAACTTTTTTGACAAAATTACAAAATGCCGCCACTCATTTTTGTGGAAAATATTTTCTTCTAAATTCTGCATATCACATTTTTATTCATGTTTTATTGAACTTGCTTTATCAAATGAAAATAGTGGAACCTAAAATATAGGCATGTAAAAAGAATGCAACAAACTTTGCCACTCAAATTCTGAGAATTGTTGAAGTCTGAATTAAAGTTAATGATGAAAAATGGAGAAATATGAGGGCATGTTTGTTTTCCTATTGAATCACAGTTTTTTTTTTTTATTTGAAAAACAAAATAAAAAATATGCTTGACAATGTGTTTCTGGTTATGTGTTCTCAAAAATTAAAAAAGTTAAATCTTTTATAAAAACAAAAAAAAATCTTTATGGTTTTTTTTATTTTTGTTCCACAAAATTAAAGAAGAGGCGGAGACCATTATATTTTTATTAATGCTAATAATTTTAATAAACCAAACAATTCTTTCCATCTTCTCTTCACCATTTTTTTCATGTTTTTCAAAATAATGATTCAAATAGATTGTTTTAAATTTTTTGCTTGCAATGCTTATTCTAAAAAATTACTTTACAAAATTGTTCTAAAAACATAAAAATAGAGAATGAAATCAAACAAATCCTATGTTATCTTGGACTAGGACTTCTATCTTTAATTCAAAAAAAATTACATAAAATGACAGATTCCCCTGCAACTTAGGAAGTGACTTCTAGTTATGTATATAAACTATGAACATGTAACTATTTATTTACTATAATCTAAGTAGTGTTTTTGAAACCTAAATCCTCTCATGCATTGCAGAGAAGGCTATTTTAGTCAGATAAAATATAGATAGCATAACTGAAAATATAAAATAAAAATAAATAACTAATATGGTAATGTCAAATGTGGTCATGTTTAGATATCTTGATCTTTAGCACCCTCCTCAAGCTGGATTTTCAAAACCATGGTCTCTTTGATGTTCCTTTGCGATTTTGGGCAATATATATATATATATATATATGTGTGATTTCCTAGTCATCAACAGGTTTGGCAGCTGCATGAAGAGAATCGTATAGTTGAAGTGGTAGATCCGAGACTATCATCAGATTTCAATGAGGAAGAAGTTAAGAGAATGGTAGGGATATCTCTTCTGTGCACGCAGGCATCACCATTGTCAAGGCCGGCAATGTCCCGTGTGGTGGCAATGCTTTCTGGAGATATGGAAGTGAGCACTGTAACTTCAAAGCCTGGATACTTGACGGACTGGAAATTCAATGATGTGAGCAGCTTCATGATTAGTCAAGTGGCAAAGCGATCAGAAGCAACTCAATACGATTTAGCAACAAGTGCTAGCATTGTCAGCCACCCAAACCAATCACCTGTTAATGCTTCTAAACCCATCCTTCAGCAAACTCTCTCTCAAGGTTGTTGAGCATTGATTAATCACGTTTTCTTATCTAATGGCAGCAAAGGCCCTCTAATGCCCTAACTAATTTTTTTATCATTAAATTCTACATAAAATGAGTAAAATTTTGATATCTTATGACTATGAAATGATGTAATTTTAAACTATGTTATAGTGTTATAAGAAAACCAACTACATAATTTTAGAGTAACATATATAATTATAGAACATGGTAGGAGCATTGGACCGTTCAATTCATTTTCTTCCACCTTCCCAAACCCCCAAATGAGTTTCAAGCTCTTACTTATATACTTATGATCAATTTATTTTTGTTTTGCTATCACGTATGAGATCCCAATTTATTTTATTTATCATATCTATTATTTTTCCTAGATTATCAGTAAGAGAAGAAAATGAACCAGATATAGAATTATGAAATTGAACATGACTGTTAAGACTATTATTCTTTTAAAACCTTTGCCGTTGTAATCCTTTGTCGCTGGGTTAACGTATAAACCCTAAAATTATTAGGTTTAACCCTAAAACTTTTGTCTCTTAACTTTAAAATGTATAGTTTTAGTCGTTTAATCCTAAAATTATTTGGTTTTAAATGATGATTTTTTATAACTATCATGGTTGTTTTGAAAATTAGACTTATATATGAATATTTGCGAATATTTTATCGATATTTAAAATATCAATGTCATCATTTTTTGTTAAAAATTTTATTATTAAAGAACTAAAAGTATATTTTTAAAAATAAATAGAACAAAAAAACCCTATATAAAACTAAAAAACTATATATCTATTTTAGCCAAAAATTATTACCCTAAAAATGGAGATAGCCATGCCTAACGCTCTTACCTTCAAGGGTGAGATTTTATGAATTGGGCATTCTATTAGGTTAAGATACAAATACAAGAATACTGTGGCCCATAGTATATTGGGCTTTGACATCCCTTTTTGGTTCATTTTGTTCATTCTAAAAGGGAATATACTGTGTCATTAAATTAAGAAGTTCTTGTACCAAAAAAAAAAAAAGAAGTTCTTGACTTGTTTGGATCCCTAGGTTCGCATGGTTCATTGGAATCGAATTTCATATTATTGAAATAAAAAGACAAAGAGTAAAGAAGCATCCAATATTGTGATGTTACCTCCTAGATATATCTAACACTCTAATCTCATTTATAGTTCATTTGGTACTCTTTCGGTCTTTAATGTGAGATTTAATTATGGAATTAATTTTAGTCTTAAATGTAAGATCTATTTATCATATTTATCAATTATTCTTCTAAATCCTCCTTTTTTATATGCTCTTAATCATAATCAAGAAAGAGAGAAGGATATTAAAGAAGATAATTACAGTGTTTTAGAAAAAATATATCATATTTATTATACTAACTTACTAACTTTTTTAATCTAATCAAATTAATTAAATAGGTCTCCCATTAATATTATTTTCATGGTGCTGCAGCCATCAATTACATTTAGGTTTTTTTAGCCATAGAATACCCAAATCCGAAATACCTCTCACAAGAAACATTATAAATCCTTTTCTTAACTTCCTCTTCACTGGGAAGTGAGAAGAATTGAAAATCAGGGGCAGTGAATAATGAAAAGTCAGGAGGGAAATTTTCATTTGCTCAAGCAACGCAGCAAATAAATCAGTATTCCTTCCAACTACCTTAGCAAGAGTTTGTATATAACAATCAATCATTTGTTGTTTGGTAGCACCCTCTCCACCTGGCTTGTCCATGACAATGAGCTAGTGCTCATAGTTGCAATCGAGAAACAGTGGGGCCATCTCTGTGGGCGGTCAGTCACTGAAGTTAGAGCCTGAGTTGAGAGGCGAGTAGGTTGAGTTGCCAGACCAGTTGACGCGGCATCGAACAACAGTGAAATGAACAGGAGCGAGCACGCGCAATGCTTGAGAAAGCGGGTTGACAGATCTGCGAGTGGGGAGAGTGGTTGGGATAAGAGGGGATCAGGTGATGGACATGGAAGTGGTGGAGATAAGGCATTTGGGAAGGAAGGCAGATAGGGAAGCAGAAGAAGAGCAAGAAGCTCATGCTAAGGCGCGTGCCATTTCCAGAGGAAGAAGATGATCAGATAGGGTTTTGTTGCCTTACCTTCGGCCAGTCTCCTTTTCTTTTCTTTATCAGTTGTTCACAACAGTCTAACACACTAGAGATTATCGACCCAATTCCAAAAGAAAAAAAAAAACAAAAACGAAACAGGAAGAAAATACTGTTGCAGATTTTCGAAAATGCATCAAGGGACTAAAACAAAACAAAAATAAAAAAGGTGATACACGAATTCGACCAAACAACTCAAACTATTCCCCAAGATAATTGATTTTATTGTTTCGAAGAAAGTAATTTGCTAATCCTTATTAGTTTCTCTCAGTTGTAAGTATTGGTTCATATGCTTGTAAATCGTAATCCATTAATCATGACTAATTAAGTGGCATATAAATTGTCACAAAAAAATTAAAAATAAAATATATGTATTATCATC